TGAGTGAGGAGGGGTGGTGGATAGTGGTTGAAGTTTCTTGGACATGGGCGTTAATCGGTCAACAGCGGATTCTTTTAAAACTTCTTGTTGAACCAACATTTCAATTACCTGATTTTTTAACATTTCCTTAGTCAGTTGCTGTGAATATGGGATATTGTAATAGTTGGCTATTTCTTTCCATTCTTTCTTCAGGATATTAACACGTAATTTAGCTACGGAAGGATTTTCAATAAAATCTTGGAGATCAAAACCTGAGGTGGCCATTGTTAAGAAAAACTAGGATAAATTAACTAATGGTCAAAAAGATAAGTGGATTACCCTAGAAAATATCACGGCAGTGGATAACCAGAAAGTCCCGGAAACTACCCAAGTTATACCTAGGGAAATTACACTTATGAATATTGTTCTTCTGATAAGATCCTTAAATAAGGATAAGAGACTTGAAAAGATACTTGAAACAGGAAGGGCGTATTACGGCATTAATATAAAGATCCGGATAAACAACCCTTAGATACTTGAATTATTGACCCCGAATGAGATAATGAGAAGAACAATACTTGAGGCTTTATAATTATGGGGTGCTGGTAGAGTGGGCCGTCCCAAGATATCACTTCACCCTAAACTAGTGACTATGGAACAGCCTACTCTGGAGCGAGGGTACGGCATTAAACAGATCCGGATTCTTCCCTACACTCGATAAGACTTACTACACGACTGCCACGTGTAATAACAGGTAAGCCTTATGACACTTAGAACCTAATATCCTACGTCTGTCACTCTTACTGTACGATAATATCAATATATGCACACACATATGAAGGAACTTTAAACCACTGTAAAGCAATTGTGAACAGAAGTGACTGGGAGGAATAATTAACAAGAAGTAACAAGGGGGGAAGAAATATGGCATTTTAGGTCGTGTCTTGTCACGGTCGCCATTTGTTAAGAGTTGGGGATTTAGAATATAGTTAAAAGTCTACCCAGATCCCAACAGGCAACAACAATAAAAAAACAAAGACAATCTGACTATAAAAGGGTAGACAAAGGATGCAAGTTTTTGTTGTGTATAATAAAGTACCATAAATTCCTTAACAAAATATTCAGCTTTCTATAATTTACCCTTAACCATACTTAACCTAAACATAAGCAACATTGGCTTAACAGTATATACATATTTACACAACATACAACAATCTGAAGCAAGGTGGAGGTGGGGAGGCAATATAAGATTACAAAATGCTCAAGTGCAGTGCTGAGATGGCTGACGAGTAAGGCTGAGTATTGAAGAAGATGGTAGGTAGTCACTGTGCCGTAGGTTTCCAGGATAGGTGATCCTAGTGTGGTGGCTTCCCAGAGTGAACTGAACTCTCCTCGATATGGAGCTGATGAGGAAGACTTGGAGGAGGTGACGCAACAACCAGGATATGGAGAAGGGAAACCCCGGAGTGGTAACTAAGACTAGTCATACTCGGGGTTCGTCCCTAGATGGCGTTGCTCGTGGTTCTGGGTAGGTAGATCATGACAATAGATGGCATGGTTCGTAGTGCTGGGTAGGTAGATCATGACAATTGATGGCATGGTTCGTAACAATACTAATGACATAATTATTTTGGTACTGCTGGACGGTTAATAATTGCGCTCATTACTAAAATTGTGTTGATATTATTTCTGATAAAGGACGTCATTCACCATCCCTGATGGAGCAGTTCGGATTCACCTGGCATTGGTTACCTGGCATATTTGGACTTATTAAAATAGGAAATTTATACTACTAAGTATTTATGCTAAGGAAATAATTATTTTGGTAGTGCTGGACTGTTATTAATTGCCCTCATTACGAAAATTGGGACGATATACATTCTGATAAAGGACGTCATTCAACCATACCAGAGTAAGCATTTCTCACCACTTTTCAAGTGGACCACTTACGACTTTTTTTAGCTTAATTTGATTTCCATACATTTCTACACATAAACGAGTTGTGTTAGTTATCTTAAAGGCTTACCTTTTATGATGGTTTGGCTAATTTGGAGGATATAAACGGCGATGAGACAATAGAGGCTGCAGGCATTGTTTATATACAAACATGGAACGCTTTTAAAAAGAACAATACAATTCTGCATGTGCTATTCTATATGGAGTAAATCGTATAAAAAATATTATTCCTTTGCATATTTATACATTTTATGTGCATCCAAATCAAATTTCTTTCTTTTGGTTTCAAAAATAGTTCCATCGTAGTGATCATCGGGCGGGGGTACGAGTACCACGAAATTTCCCCACGTTCCAATAACGAATCGTACATATTTTTTTTTAGCCAAAAAACGCTTCTTGCAAAACAACCATGGGGCTACTACAGTATGGTATACACCACGGCTGATCTTGCAGTTGGCCCTAAATGTTACATAATACTTCCTTGAGATAAATGTATAGTATATATCAGGTGCCTAAAAGAGAGCTTAGGTTCTTAACTGGCTCAGCCATGTTAATATTGTTATTATTATCCACACTGTATCTGTGTTTTTCTGGCTAAATAAACTGTTTCAATTCAATTCAATTTGGCAATATGACCTTTGGCAGTAGGGCTGTGTTGGTCACACAATATATATATATCTATATATATATATATATATATATATATATATATATATCTCTAATCCTTTCTCAGCATGAGTTAGACCCACAGCACAGAGCCCTTGTGGCTGTGACAGAAGGCTATCACGCTAGGCCACCAGAATGTCAAAGCAGTCCTAGACTCTGTTATATTTCACACAAAGCCTGTTGATCAGTTATGTGCCGTGAACCTCTAATAAGGGACTACCATTTATCCGTGCAATTGGTCAGGTAACGTTTACCAAATTAAAAGCCAGGGCAACACTAAGCTCGTTGAACAGGCTTTGTGTGAAATATATGAAGTCTAGGACTGCTTTTGGTATCCTGGTGAATTAGAAAGTTGGCGTTCCCGATGTTTTCAATCTCATGGGCGCAAATGGGCGTGAGTTGAATCCTGGCGTTTGAGGTGATTGTATGAAAGTCCATGTGTTTATTGGGCCTAATGAAATATATATATATATATATATATATATATATATATATATATATATATATATATTAGTTCTTGAATTGATAAGTGGCAGGGCTGAAGTAAACACTTTGTTGGTTTTGTTTTATTGTAGAAAAATATAGTTTCACAGGTACTGAGTTCAGTTGAGAGTATATTGTACCTTCTCTGCTCAGGGAAGTGTCTTAGTGCACTTGTATAGGAGAACACTTAAGTGAGGTGTTCACTGGGTACAAGGTGATATGATAGTCTCTCTCTCACACCAGGGAGAGAGGGTGGTCAAGCAGGCCTCGAAGGAAATGCGTCAGATATGTTGTTGCTGAGAGGCGCTGACCCAGCTTGACCTCGCTCGCTCCCCAGACGAAATGTCAACTCACCAATTCATGCATACACATAGGTGAATGACCTGGTAAATATATTGGTAATATACATTTGGGTAAATATTTATATAATACCTCCAACCGATGTCCTCACAGATTAAAACCTACTGTAGGTGTACCTAACCTTGTTACAAAAACTTGTGCTTAGCTAAACTTTTTCGTCATTTATATGTTTTTGCAATCACTTCCAAAAAGTTTTCTTAGAAACTGTTGTGTATCTAGAAGAAATCTTCCTGTAACAAATTGTAGATATATGAGACGAATATGCTGTAATATGTAACTGTACTATTTACCATTATTGATTCAGGTCTCTGTATTATATGTTATAATCATACTCCCTTTTGTCACTGAGTGTTAGTTCATGTTTTAGGCACATGCGCGCTGTACGCGCATGCGCAGATAGAGATACCGGGAGAGATTCCAAGACAGGACGCTGTTCCCCCTGTCTTAACTCCTTTTGTGTGTTTGTCCCAGAAATAGAACTTACGAACTTGACACCAGTGTGTTTCCTTCACCCCTGATTGGAAGTATCACCTGGGTCTCCCACACAAATTATCATAACAATCAAGGAACTGATAAATGTGATGGTAGGTATAATAAAACCAGGTAGGATTTTACCGGAAGATAAATATATAGGAAGAGAATCCTGTAAGTCAGGAAACTGTGTCTCATTAATATAAGATAGGAGGTTAAGTTTATCAGAAACAATATGAAGATTACTGAAACTTATATTTAAGGGAAATGGTATGGGAATCAGCTCAGAAGTAATATTTGTGACAAATGCAAGATGATGGCGAGTAGGCAAGGTTGTGATTGCATTATTGCTAATTTCACAATAGTCTGGTGCTATATGAAAACCTTCTACCATTAAATGTTTGCCTACATCCTGACATATAAGTATCACACTGGTTTGATTCGGGAAAAAAAATATTGTACATTATTGACATGTGTGTGAAACACTAACCTATGTGGTATTAGATTCATACACATTGTTGTAGAGCTGTAGAGGCATTAGTTTATAACAGAGCTAATTCACAAGCAGCCTCAACGGCCCGTGTGAACGCGAAAGCATACGCCGGATAAACATGCAAATGCAAATATGTTAACCTACAAAGATTTAGGACTTCATGCTTAGCCACAGAAACGAATGAAAAATCCTGTGATACTACTATTAGTTCAGTTTGTTTGTTCAGAATTAATATTCCCTCATTCGCTTTTGGTGGAAATGGTTCCAAATGCCGTGCATTAAAATTTTTTGTGATTTTAGTAGAATGTGTATTAGTATTTTCCTGTGTGTTAATGTTGCTTCTAATAAGGGATAATAATATTCCACTTCATGCTCCTGAAAGACAGGAGTTAGATGATAATTAGTTTCAGATATAAGCAACGCCGCAATTAGTTGATGAACCGGCAACAACTGTGCGTCAATACATCCAAATTCTGCATTTACAAGATCAGCAATGAGCCTATTACTGGTTTTTGTGAAAGATTGTACAGAGGCCTCAGCAGCATGCATGTATTCAGATAAGCAGAGTTGCCATTCCAGTGTAGATACTGACCGAATGAATCCCTCGACAACTTGTGTTAGTTGATTAGTTCGTTCAACAATAGCATTCATATGAGAGGCCAGAGTTTGTATTGCCTTGTAGGACTGAGCAATGGTCGTATTTTGTTTCCTAACCTCGTGTGAAACTGCACTCATTTTATTTCCTAGTTTAGCCACATCTTCGGCGGTTGCCGTACCAAAGAAGGTGTTACTTATTAATCCTACAAAATTAAACAGACCACGTTTTTGACCCCGCTGAGAATGTACATTTTTCCTGATGTCTTCAGGAGATACAAGGAGCTTTCCCTCGAAATACCTTACTCGTTTGAGTAGACTATTCATACGGTCGTGTTGAAGGGAGATGGTCTGACGGATTGTTGTAGAGACTGTAGATTGTTGTTCGAGATCTTGCAAGGTTTGCATAGCTGTTTCAATGTGGACAGCTATAGACCTCAGATGCACTGGCATGCGCTTTAAGTCATGGAGCTCGCATTTGATAGTTACAACGTCTTGTACTACCAGTACTTTGCCTAGTGGGGCAACTAAGGCTCCGAGTTTGATGACGTCTGCTGGGGAGGCGGCTGTTGTCACCACGCTCCAGACCAACAGTAGTCGTGATATCCAAGCCATGTTTGAAATAGGCGAGGATAATTAACGATTTTTGGTTGCTGATCGTAATTTTTGACAATATGTATTGTCTATCGTTATATTTTGTTGAGCAATTGTTGTAGTTGAAGTAGGATGCACTTGACTGACATTAGGAGTCCCGACTAAGTCTCTGCTGACTTTTTTTTCATTCTATCTACATGTACTATATCTGTAACATTTGACGTTGGCTCAACTACTTGGAATTTGTTTCCCTGTTCTTTCGCTCCAATCACGTACGGACCTGTGAATTTAGGCGAGAGTTTTGATATGCGTTCCGGCGCTTTTATCATTACTTTGTTTCCTATTTCTAATTTTATAGGCTTCGCTTTTTTATGTTGCTTGCAGATAATTTCAGCACATGAGGCTGCTAAGTGTTTTCGTACTTTCCCATGGATGCTTGTGAAAACATTGATTTGTTTCTTGGCATAGTCATCCATGTTGTTCACAGGTTGTGGAATTCCTGTTAGTAGATCATATGGCAAGCATTTATCAGTACCGTAAATTATGTAGTATGACGATTTGCCTGTAAAGCTATTTATAGATCCATTGACGGATGCTGCAACCTGTGGAAGTCGGTCCTCCCACCAACTATGCATTGGATTCACCACATGTCGGAGAATCTCAAGAATTTTTCTATTCGCACGCTCGACCAACCCATTTGAAGATGGATGGTAGGCGGTTGTGATTAGATGAGTGACTAATGTATGAGCCACTGATTTGCCGGACTTGTTCTTCAATTTTGCTAATACCACAAATCTGGAAAAGTGGTCAACGCAGACAAGAACGTACCTAGAGCCTTGATGGCTTTTTGCTAGTTGCAATAAATCGATCACAACTGTATACCATGGAGGTTCCGGTGTCGGGTATTCTAAGATTGGAGCGGGATCCATCGTTGTTCCCTTGTGTTTTGCACAAGATAAACATTTAGCAATGTGATGCTCGATATCGATCCTCATAGATTTCCAATAATATTTTTGTCTAATTTTTGTTAGACATCTATCTCGCCCTTGATGCCCAGCTTGGGGTGCATCATGGAAGAGGATGAGAATGTTTTCCTTTAATGATGTAGGAATAACAATTTGAGAGATTGACTCTTGTTGTGTTTTCACTGAGCGATATAGTATGTCATGCCGCAGCTCAAACTGTGAGAGTGGTAGAGGTAATTTGTACAAATTTACCTCATCTCCCGATTCTAAGGCATATATAACCTCGGACCATAATGGATCCTGTACCTGTTCCGCCCTTAATTGTGACAGGGTGAACGTAGGTAGTGGCGTGACAGGAGCTATGTGTCTAGATAGCGAATCAGCTACAACGTTCGCAAGGCCCGGCAAATACTTGAAGTCGGGTGCGAACTTCTGTATGATCAGATACCAGCGCGCTAAACGTCCTAATAAGTTCTTCCCATTAAATAGTTCTGTCACGGCTACATGATCTGTGTGGACTGTGATCCGATATCGCAAAATGAGATCCCGAAAATGCTTGAGAGCCCACACTACAGCTAATGCTTCTAAATGAGTAGCTGAATAACGTGTTTCTGCATTGTTGAGGGTGCTACTGGGGTATGCTATTACCCGCCACTTTCCTCGATAATTAGTTTGCATGAGCACCGCCCCTAAACCTAGGCCCGAGGCATCAGTACACATGGTAAATGGTTTTATGTAGTCCGAAAAGGCTAACACTGGAGCTTTCGTGAAGGTGCTCTTGAGGGCATTAAAACTGCCCTCTTGTTCCTTATTCCATGTAAGCTCCACATCCTTTTTGAGAAGTTTTGTGAGTGGTGATGCTAACTTGGCATAACCCTCAATGAAAGAACGGTAGTATCCTGATAATCCTAGGAAACTACGAAGTTGATCTATCTTCTTGGGGCAAGGGAGTTGTTTCACCACCTTTACCTTGCAATCTATTGTGTGTATACCATTGCCATCCACTACGTGTCCAAGAAATTGGATTCTGGATTTGAGAAATTCACATTTGGAAAGTTTCACTTTCAATCCAGCTAGATGTAGCTTTGTGAAAAGTTCTCGTAGCTTCTTTAGATGACTTTTTAAATCTTTGCTTTCTATGATAAGATCATCTAGATAGGCAAACAAGGTGTTTATCATTCTTTGGAATGTTAGCGGCACATTTCTTAGGCCAAATGGCATTCTTAAGAATTCGAAATTCCCATAGGCGTACTGAACGCAGTTATTTCGAGGGACTCCTCATGTAAGGGAATTTGCCAGTACCCGCTAAGTAAATCTAAGTTGCTGAAGACTGCGTTGTCTTTTCCTAGTGACTGTAGTAAGTCAGTTACGACAGGCATTGGGAACCTGTCTGGTACAGTTACCTGGTTGACTTGTCGAAAATCTATGACTGGTCTCCATCCTCCATCTTTCTTGGGAACTAAAAATATAGGTGAGTTCCATGGTGATGAGGAAGATTGGATCACCTTTTCGTAACATGTCTTGTACTATTTGCTGGACTACCGCTCCTCTTCTGTGGGGTAGCCTATATGCTAGGGTGTAGATTGGGTAAGCTTCCAGTTTGAGTGGAATATGATGATTTGTCAACTTTTTTTTACCTAGAGGTTCTCCAGGTAATGCTATGATTTCCTTGAACTCGGCGAGTAATTCTAAAGATCACCTTGCCTCGAGGATGATCGACTACTTTCACGTGTGGTGCTATTAACGCTACATTATTTACAATATGTGATTTTTCGTCCGATTTACCCTGTGTTACACTACCTATTGGTAATTCTAATGGTTCTTCAGCAACCCCTTTGTCGTAAACAAGGAAATTACCTAAACAACATCCCTTTCTTAAGGTTATGGGTCCCCCAGTTCTATTGAGAACGAGGACATCTGTGAGACTACCTATTCTAACAGTGCTTAAGGTAGACTCAAGTGACAAACCTTTTACTCATGAGCTTTCACTCAGTCACACAACATCTGTTCCTTCACTCACATTTGGCAAACGTACTATGACTCTAATTAGTCCTGGCTCTGTAACCGTTGTACATTAGTTAACATAGCAGGAGTTAGAGTCCAGTTCTGGCAGCTTTCATCCGAAATGTCCTTTGAGCTACTAGGTGGAGTTTTAGAGAGTGACTCCATAACTAATTGCTGCGTGCCAAAGACTTCCACGCGCCTGTCGAGGCAGTTATTACATGAACACCCGAAGTAAGCAATGGATGTGAAGTTTGCATTGCGTGATATGTTTTACAATTATGCGTGATTGTTTGATCTCGTGGCTGAACGTTAATGTTGTTCTGCCTTAGAGTGGTCAGACCAAGTAACCCGTCCGCCGCCAAAGAAAATGCCTTAACTATATAGAAATCCGCCCAAAACGCTTTACTGGACCTGGAAAACCGGAGTTGTAGTGTTATCACCCCCGCTATGTCTAATTGGATTCCCGACACACTGAGCCGGTTGGTTAATTCCCAATTAACCAGGTTGGTTCACATATATTATATTGAAGTTTCTTGTTTTATTAGATATGCATTATGTTTATATAATTCCTGAGTGTAGATCAACCGTAAGTTCCACTATTTATGAGTGTGATGAGAAAGGACGGCGTTTATGTATATAAACATGAATCAACGTCCGTTCGATATTAGTTGGTGTGAGTGACTGTGAGTTGTGACCCATCGAGGGAGAACGGAATTGGGACTTCGTCCCCCCTCGAGGGAAGACGGAGCCATTCACTGCGGCTCTCAAATAACGCCTTCCTCTTGTCAAGGATATCAAACTACTGCTCACTTTAGGTGGCCAGAGAGCCGGCTACTTATGCCTTTACTCAGCATAGTATGACGCAGCTTCCCGTAGGCACACCTTATCACGTGCATTGAACATGTCACCTCATAACCAGTGGAAAGTTACAGTGGATGCATCTGAATATAAATCGGATGTAAATAACCCATTTATATAATACTTCTGTAAATGAGACAGGGGCCATTACATCGCTCGGTCACCACCGACCAAGTACCATGAGGCCTAAATAAGCTCACAGAGTACAGTACATCCTATACAACCCTAACCAGGTTATAAACATAGGTGTAGACACTAAGCTGGGGATTCTATCTACTAAAGGGATCCTATACTTTAATGCCTTTTGGGTTAAAATGTTACGAACAATTTTCATCTTGGATGACACTGACTTATAATAACTGAAAAACATGACTTCAAACACAAACATTACTGACAATATCAAAAGCAACATGGCAGAAATAATCTTCGCCTACTTCGTGTTTAAAAAACGCATCTTCTTAGCAATGTACAACTTTTGCTACTGTAATCACGCTAGATGAATGAGTGTGTAGTGCTTAAGACTCTTTCAACGAAACATTCATTTTTGCGGAGAGCAATGGTACTGAGTTGTGAAGGGTTCAACACGGCATGGCTGAAAATTTACTATCATATTTTTATTTTAAGAAGATGTGTCTTTGACATCATTAAAATATGTAGTTTGAAAATTATGAACATTCTTATCTTCCCTGGGATCAAAAGAAAATGTCCACATTTTCTATGTCTAATAAATACTGGGAATTATTTCACTTCAATATATATTAAAATAAGTAAGCACTTACAACAATGACAGTAACCTATCGATGTCCTATCAATGTGGAGTTATGCCTCGAACATGTAAATGTGTGTATATATTTAATGTATACCTAGATACTACCATTTTCTTGTATGCTTGATTGAAGAATCCTTTCTAGAAATTGTTGACAATGTGAAATTGTTGCCGCAATCCCGTAGACTTGCGTGTGTCACTCACAGCTGATTCAAGGTCCGGTGACTTGGTCAGTTTTCACGAAACTTCTGAGTCCACAGAGTATCGCTCCTGGTTACACTAGGTCATCCACCATACCATACCTCAGAATTCAGAGACCATCTCTAAGACTGGAGATTTGTCGTCACTAGGGTGGAGTGCTGGGGTGCTGGTAACTGGGGGTTATTCACGCCATACGAAAGAATTTTGTTGACAGGATGTTGATTGATGAGTAGTCACAACAACTGCAGTCACGTCCTGTTACACCCTGGGCAGTGAACGAATCATTTGCAGAAACTAATGTTCACTTCAGCTCACAGGATTGTTGCCATAATTCAGCAACTTTTAATAACTCAGTATTGGTTAAGGACGTAAACTCAACGTATAGCATATGTAACAGTTCATCTTCCTATAGTCGTAAATGTAATACATATAACCATATCTATGATTGCTATTGCATATTTACACTTACGTTTATATATATATATATATATATATATATATATATATATATATATATATATATATATATATATATATATATATATATATATATATATATATATATATATATATATATATATATATATATATATATATATATATATATATATATATATATATATATATATATGTAACAGTTCGGAATTACTGGGCATTTATTTCTCACTTGACTTGGGGTTTATTAATTATTAGATGGAAATTGCAGTGGAAGCGCCCCTTGGAGAAAAATCCCGAACCAGCACAAGAACACTTAAATTTACTTAACAAAATGAATTCTCCGTGACCCGTGGAAGGATAGCATCTGTGACTGGGATGAATGAGACACACTGTAAAATTTAGACACTTATATTCCCTCCAACACTACAGACACAATCAATAATGGTACACCAATATGTGCACCTCTTAACCTGAACTTAAGACACTACTCTGTTGAATAAAAGTTATACATGATGTTGAAATTATTAGAAACTCAGACAATGCCTCATTAGACAACAATAAAGTCAAGTATTAAGAATTGTTGCTTGCACACATGAAACAGGCCTGAAGGGCTTTCAACAAAATAATATCAATCACTGAGGAAATGGTATAAAAAAAATAAGAAATTGTTAATTCCACCATGAATAGGCCTAAAGGGCACTCAATAGAATTAGGTTACACCAACAGATACAGGCCTTAAGGGTTTTCAACAAAATAATATCAACCACTGAGAAAATGGTATTAAAGAAAAGTAAGAAATTAAAAACTCTACACTGAGAAATTTGTATAAAAAAATAAGAACTTATTAACTCCACCCTGAATAGGCCTTCAGGGCACTCAGCAAAATTATATTACCCCAACAGATACACACCTCCTAACCTAACTTAAACACTACTCTGGGGAACAAAGGTTATACCTGAGATTGAAATTATAAAGAAATATTAAATGCATTAAAGGAACTAAATCACAGTATCACTTACAACATAAGGGAGAAAACTCATCTGAAAAACAGTTCCCTCATTCTCTGGTTTCAATTAGTGACACAAACATTAAAAACAATACTATCACAATTATTTAAGAAATATTAATTACACACAGCAAGACAATATCAGTAACTGAAAAAATATTATCACTAGATTAAGAAGTTACGGAGTCCACCAATACCCGTAAACACATGCTCCCTAACCTAACACATAGATTCCACCTGCACTCTGTAGTTTTTTAAGGCACAACCAACAGGCACCCGTAGATTAAGGCCCAAGCCAGCCTTTCTCAACCTTGGAAATGTACCTCTAAGTTCCACTGGACTCTTGGTCCCAGTGTGTGACCCTGTATCACTCAGCTGGCTTCACTTTGCCCCCAGTACATCCATGAAACGGAAGGGAGTGAGGCACTCAGACCTTGTACAGTTGAGAGAAGCTTTAGCTTCCCATTAGAAAAAGGTTTTCACTAAGCTGCTTGAAGATATGTGGTATTGTGAGCCGAGGTAGAGGAGAGTTGATGACCCCAAACGATCGTCACGTCGTTAGTTGGGCACCTAGACAGCTGGGTTCATTCCAACTCTCAAACCCAGGTCAGTGGATGGTCATACAGCTCGCTTCACCACTCGTGTCTCATACCGCCAGTGGACGTTATCATACCTCATACCGCGTGGGGTCTACAGAACCCTGAAAAACCCGGGCTGTTAGCTATTGTCTCACATCACCATTTGTCCCTACCGCCCTATCAAGCTTTGTCTGAGATTGAATAAAACTTACTTGTTAATACTGATGTTAAATAAACGAAGGAACCAGGTCACGCGATCCGTCTCTCCTGGGTACAGCACAGAGGTGGTCCTTGACCTCTCTCACAGCTCCTCGGCCACCTTGCTCACTGGTTCACGCTTTCCGGGAGTGACTTATTTACCAGACGATTAAACTTATTAGGACGTACAGAACATTTTCAGACTGGGAAACGATCTATAATTATTTTCAATTTAATAACTGATATTTAATTTCATGATTCGCGTCCCTATTAACTCGGTAAATTACATTTAATATCGTATAGGCCTAGTTCCACAACCTCTCGCTACGTGCGGGGAGCGCGGTCTTCCCTCAGACGACCTTGAACTCAGCATCGCCAATGGCGCGGCGTTTGAAATTACACTGAAATTTCTGAATATTACATATATATATATATATATATATATATATATATATATATATATATATATATATATATATATATATATATATATATATATATATATATATATATATATATATATACATATATGCAGAGTAAATCACTGTAGGTGCGCGTGATCTAGGTATATGCTTTGATATACAAGGAAAGAAAGAAACACAGAAGTTCACGAAAGCGCTTTCGTGTTTCAACTTCGAGGTGTACAGGCTAGTCTTACTCCTGTGATTATATATATATATATATATATATATATATATATATATATATATATATATATATATATATATATATATATATATATATATATATATATATATATATATATATATATATACATATATGTGTGTGTGTGTGCGTGCGTGAGTGTGTAATAATAATAATAATAATAATAATAATAAATACCGGTTTATTGAAAGTACATGGCAGACGGAAGGCCGAAAATATTCAGTTACATATGTGATATAAATATGATATATAAAAGCTAGGTGGGGAGAATCTCAAACTACAGGGCATTTCAATATAGTGACAGTGCAAAAAGTAAGATTTTGTGTGTCTGTGTGTGTGTGTG